CTTTTTTTTTTTTTTTTTTTTTGAGACGGAGTCTTGCTCTGTTCCCAGGCTGGAGTGCTGGTGGTGCGATCATGCTCACTGCAACCTCCACCTCCCGGGTTCAAGCGATTCTCCTGCCTCAGCTTCCCGAGTAGCTGGGATTACAGGAGCGCACCACCACGCCTGCCTAATTTTTGTATTTTTAGTAGAGATGGGGTTTCATCATGTTGGTCAGGCTGGTCTTGAACTCCTGACCTCAGGTTATCCACCTGCCTCGGCCTCCTAAAGTGCTGGACTCGCCCTGAATTCTCTATTGTGTGAGATCCAAGGACCCTCTCTTGGGGTCTGGATAGGCCCTTTCCTGTTAACACTGGGATTGCAGGCGTAAGCCACCATGTTCAGCCACCTTTGAGGCAGGAAAATAGGGTCTGGAGGCAGGCAACATATAAGGCCGACTCACATTTCAGTTATGACAGGAAATATCCTCTCCTTAGGGCATACATCCTAAATGACTTTGTAACTTTACTTCATCCTCTTCATTTACACAGGGCGTATCCCAAGTAACCAAGAGTATTTAAACTCCAACAAATCCTGTAACTGGCTCCTATGCTCAGCCGGCCCCCACACTGGAGTGTACTTTCATTTTCAATAAATCGTTCATTCCTTCCTTGCTTTGTGCGTTTTGACCAATTCTTTTTTTTTTTCTTTTTTGAGACAGAGTCTCGCTCTGTCAGCCAGGCTGGAGTGCAGTGGCATGATCTCGGCTCACTGCACACTCCGCCTCCCGGGTTCAGGCCATTCTCCTGCCTCAGCCTCCCGAGTAGCTGGGACCACAGATGCCCGCCAAAACGCCCGGCTAATTTTTTGTATCTTTTTTTTTTTTTTTTTTTTTTTTGTAGAGACAGGGTTTCACCGTGTTGGCCAGGATGATCTCCATCTCCTGACTTCGTGATCCGCCCGCCTCGGCCTCCCAAAGTGCTGGGATTACAGGCGTGAGCCACCGCGCCCAGCCGTTTTGTCCAATTCTTTAAGATGCCAAGAATCTGGACACCCTCCACCGGTGACATCTTCACAGTTCTGAGGAGTATTCATGGGGTCTTTTGTAGAATGTTTCTCAATTGGTATTTGTCTGATCTTTTTCTCATGATTAGGCTGGAGATAGCTGGGATTTCAGGTGTGAGCCACCATGCCCAGTCTCCAAATCCTGTTTACGCAAAAATTTTAAAAAATTAGCCAGCCTCGGTAGTGCGCGCCTGTAGTCCCAGCTACCCGGGAGCCTGAGGTGGATCACTTGATCCAGGGAGGCGGAGACTGCAGTAAGCGGAGATTATGCCTCCCTGGCTGCACTCCAGCCTGGGCGACACAGACCTTGTTTCAAAAAAAAAGCCTAATATGGATGGGCGCCGTGGCTCACGCCTGTAATCCCAGCACTTTGGAAGGCCGAGGCGGGCGGATCACGAGGTCAAGAGATCCAGACCATCCTGGCCAACATGGTGAAACTCCGCCTCTATTGAAAACACAAATATTAGCTGGGTACTCCGGAGGCTGAGGCAGGAGAATCGCTTGAACCCGGGAGGCGGAGGTTGCAGGGAGCCGAGATGGCGCCACTGCACTCCAGCCTGGCGACAGAACGAGACTCCGTCTCAAAAATAAAAGAAGCCTAATACACAAAATAAAGCTAGGAATCTTCCCTGAGTCCTCCTGCCTACGGAATGAAGTACACAGACCTGGGGGAGCGTTCGAGCCCCTCTAAGCCCACTTCCTTTCTCCAGCCTCTCGCGCGCAGTTCACTGCCGACAACACCTCCCGCCGCCACAAGGAGACGCCCGAGGACTGCCCTCAGTCAAAGCCCAAACGGTATTGCCACGTGACCCGCTCCGCATCCACGTGAACAGCGTCGCACCCGGTGGGCGTCACGTGACAGACTCAGTAGTTCTCCAATCGCTGTGCACGTTGTGGGGTTTCCACCTAGGGCTCGGCCTGAGGCTTGTAACACTCCGTTTTCCCAGGAGTCACAGGGGCAGTCTTGCCCCTTGCAGCTGGGTCGCGGTATCTCTCAAAGGTCCCCCTCTACAGGGGCTTCGTGAGGCCCGGGCCTACAGCGGGCTCGGTCCCGGAAGTGACGTCTCCCACAGGGGCCGGAAGGGGCAGTGGAGGGAGGGAAGATGGCGGAGGTGGTGAGTCCGGTGCCCGGGGCGGGGCGGAGGGAGCCAGGGGAGGTGGGTAGAGCCCGAGGCCCCCCAGTAGCCGACCCTGGCGCCGCGCTGTCTCCCCAGGGGGAGATAATCGAGGGCTGCCGCCTACCCGTGCTGCGGCGGAACCAGGACAACGAAGATGAGTGGCGTGAGTGACGTTGGGGGGCGGGGCTAAGGAACCTGAGGGCGAGGGGCGGGAGGAAGTCAACTGAACCCCCGGGATGGGGAGGGGCCTCTGGAATTATGGGGCGGTCGGGGCGCAGATACTCCCATGAAGGGGCGTGGCTCTTAGCTGCTCCGAGAGGTACAGGGCGGGGCCTGGAAAGGGGTGGCAGTAGTGACTGAAGGAGGCTTAGGAGAGACCTTCTAAGTGCTGGAGCTTAGGGATCCGGCCTTGGGGTGGAGTTCAGGTCGTGGAAAGGTGGAGTCTCATAGCCTGGCCCGGCCCGTCTAAGGCCCCTGCCTATGCTATTCCCATAGCCCTGGCCGAGATCCTGAGCGTGAAGGACATCAGTGGCCGGAAGCTTTTCTACGTCCATTACATTGACTGTGAGTTCTGGGCCTGAGGTGGGGCATCAGGGTAGGGTTGGGGAACAGTCTTTGGCATTCTGTCCTGAGCCATCCCCACTGCTGCAGTCAACAAACGTCTGGATGAATGGGTGACGCACGAGCGGCTGGACCTAAAGAAGATCCAGTTCCCGAAGAAAGAGGCCAAGACCCCCACCAAGAACGGACTTCCTGGGTCCCGTCCCGGCTCTCCAGAGAGAGAGGTGGTGAGTAGGTCCCCCACTTCACCTCTTCTCTCCTGCCTCCTGTTTCTCTTATCTGTTGGCATTAGGGGCTCCTGGATGGGCAGTAGGCGGCTCCCTCTCACCCTGACTTCATCTTGCAAAGGATGGGGGCCGAATTGCACATGTAGCTCCCAGAGTCCAGTAGCTAGTCCTGTGTCCTTCAGAAGGCGAGGGTGGGGTTTGATAATTTTGAGCTGAGGGACCCCTGTTCCCCTTCCCCATTCCACTGCCATCCCCGCCCCAGAGGAAGACCCTGGACCTATCTCTACAGCCGGCCTCGGCCCAGGCCAGCGGGAAGACCTTGCCAATCCCGGTCCAGATCACACTCCGCTTCAACCTGCCCAAGGAGCGGGAGGCCATTCCCGGTGGCGAGCCTGACCAGCCGCTCTCCTCCAGCTCCTGCCTGCAGCCCAACCACCGCTCAACGGTACCCTCAGCAATTCCAGGGACCTTGCTTTCTTCTCAGGTCCCACCTTCTCTACCTTCTGACCCACCTTTGTTGGTTTCTCTCTGCAGAAACGGAAGGTGGAGGTGGTTTCACCAGCAACTCCAGTGCCCAGCGAGACAGCCCCGGCCTCGGTTTTTCCCCAGGTGAGTTTCCCAAACCATTTCTTGTTCCCTTTTTCTCTTCTACTCTCTGGTGGCCTTTTTCAGGCTCATTCCCTTCTTTTACTACTATATCTGCAGAATGGAGCAGCCCGTAGGGCGGTGGCAGCCCAGCCAGGACGGAAGCGAAAATCGAATTGTTTGGGCACTGATGAGGTGGGTCTGGGGAGCAACAGAAGGAGCTGGGTGAAAAGGAACGGATGCAGGCAGGGTGGAGAGTTACTGATGAGTTTAAAAATAAAGAAGGGGTGGTAGGAGGGGCTAGTGTTGGTGGGATTAGGAGCCAGGCAGAACATGGTTCAAATGAGTCATTGGGGCTGGGTGCCATGGCTCATACCTGTAATCTCAGCACTTTGGGAGGCCAACCAAGGCGGGCAGATCACCTGAGGTCAGAAGTTCGAGACCAGCCTGACCAACATGGTGAAACCTTGTCTCTACTAAAAATACAACAATTAGCCAGGCGTAGTGGCAGGCACCTATAATCCCAGCTACTCAGAAAGCTGAGGCAGGAGAATTGCTTGAATCCCGGAGGTAGAGGTTGCAGTGAGCCAAGGTCATGCCACTGCACTCCAGCCTGGGTGACAGAGTGAGACTCCATTTCAAAAACAAGGGTCATTCGGTGATCTTTTCCACATCATCATTCCCTTAGGATTTCAGGTTTTTTATCCAGAAATTGGGGATCATGGTACCTCCCCCATAGGGTTGCTGTTAGGCTTGCAGGAAACCTGTCAAAGGGCTGTGAGCTGTGGTGTCCTGCTGAGCTGTCTCTTCTAACCTGGTATTTTCCACTGGCCCTGGGCAGGACTCCCAGGACAGCTCAGATGGAATACCATCAGCACCACGCATGACTGGCAGCCTGGTGTCTGACCGAAGCCACGACGACATCGTCACCCGGATGAAGAACATCGAGTGCATTGAGCTGGGCCGGCACCGCCTCAAGCCGTGGTACTTCTCCCCGTACCCACAGGAGCTCACCACATTGCCTGTTCTCTACCTGTGCGAGTTCTGCCTCAAGTACGGCCGTAGCCTCAAGTGTCTTCAGCGTCACTTGGTATGAGGGGTCCAGGGAGGCTGCCTTCCCAGCACCCTCCACATTGCCCTTGTTCCTGACCGTCCTCTCTTCCCCAGACCAAGTGCGACCTACGACATCCTCCAGGCAATGAGATTTACCGCAAGGGCACCATCTCCTTCTTTGAAATTGATGGACGTAAGAACAAGGTTAGTGCCTGAGAGGCAGTGGGGCGCTGGGGTGAGTCAAATGACATCTTGCTGAGGTAAACACTGACCAGTCAAGCCAGCAGATCAGTTCACCCCATTTTTATTGAGTTCCTGCTGTCTGGCAGGTGTTGGTAGCCAGGAATGAGACAGTCTGTTCTCTGACAGCTTAGTCCATGGGAGAGACAGACATACCAATGACCTCTTAGCTCCCAGTGTCTTAAGTGTCATGAAACAGAGGGCAGGTTAGCAGGACCCAAAGGAGGTGGTTGGCAAAGCTTCACAGAGGGTTACTTTGGAGCCTTGGTGGATGACAGTGGCTGAGGCAGTTTCTCGCAGTGGTGCTGAGGAGGAGGCATGGATGCACAGAGATGGTCTTTGTGAAAGGCACAGATCATTCTGGCTGGGAGGCAAAAAAGGGAGGAAAAGGGAAGGCTCTTAACAGGGGACAGAGCTCAGGTGATGAAGATGCTGTGTTAACCACCATTCTGTAATTATTAACGTGGACCTGGGCATCCAAGTGGCAGTACCCAGCAGTAGGTAGTTAAAAAGCAATTTCTGGGCTGGGCAATTTCACATCTGTAATCCCAGCACTATGGGATGCCGAGGTGGGTGGATCACGAGGTCGGGAGATCGAGACCATCCAAACACGGTGAAACCCCGTTTCTACTAAAAAATACAAAAAATAAGCCGGGCGTGGTGGCAGGCGCCTGTAGTCCCAGCTACTCAGGAGTCTGAGGCAGGAGAATGGCGTGAACCCGGGAGGCGGAGCTTGCAGTGAGCCAAGATTGTGCCACTTCACTCCAGCCTGGGCGACAGAGTGAGACTTTGTCTAAAAAAAAAATAAATAAAACAAAAAGCAGTTTCTGGCTGGGCACAGTGGCTCATACCTGTAACCCCAGCACTTTGGGAGGCTGAGGTGGGCCAATCACTTGAGTCCAGAATTTCAAGACGCCTGGGCAACATGGAGAAACCCCGTCTCTACTAAAAATAAAAAATTTGGCCAGGCACGGTGGCTCATGCCTGCAATCCCAGCACTTTGGGAGGCCAAGGCAGGCAGATCATGAGGTCAGGAGATTGAGACCATCCTGGCTAACACGGTGAAACCCCATCTCTACTAAAAATACAAAAGAATTAGCTGGGCGTGGTGGTGGGCGCCTGTAGTCCCAGCTACTCGGGAGGCTGAGGCAGGAGAATGGCATGAACCCGGAAGGCGGAGCTTGCAGTGAGCCGAGATAGCGCCACGGCACTCCAGCCTGGGTGACAGAGCGAGACACTGTCTCTAAATAAACAATTAATTAATTTAGCTGGGTGTGGTGGTACACATCTGTAGTCCCAGGTACTTACTCAGGAGGCTGAGTTGGGATAATCACCTGAGCCTCACAAGTCAAGGCTGCAGTGAGCCATGACTGCGTGATTGCACCACTGCACTCCAGCCTGGGCGACAGGAATGAGACCTTGTCTCAAAAAAAAAAACCCCCGCAATGTCTGAAATGCAGGAGAAATCATGTGCAGAGATAAGGTTAAACAGCATGATTCATAATTTTGCTGGGGTAACCCCTAAGGCAGTTATTTTGTTAAATTACATAATTCCTTAACTCTGTCATAGAGTAGCAGATCAGTTCCCAGGAGATGTGACTGTGGATGTAGAATGTTAGGTTTTTGTGTTTTTTTTTTGAGACGGAGTCTCTGTTGCCCAGGCTGCAAGCTCCGCCTCCTGGGTTCACGCCCTTCTCCTGCCTCAGCCTCCCGAGTAGCTGGGACTACAGGCGCCGCCACCTCGCCTGGCTAATTTTTTTGTATTTTTAGTAGAGATGGGGTTTCACCGTGTTAGCCAGGATGGTCTCAATCTCCTGACCTCGTGATCCGCCCGCCTCGGCCTCCCATAGTGCTGGGATTACAGGCGTGAGCCACCGCGCCCGGCAGAATGTTAGGTTTTTTAACAGCTAGACTCCCAAAACTGTTGGAGAGAGCTTCTCTGAGGAGCGGTGGTCGGAGTCTGACTTTGGACACATTAGTTTGTTGATTGCTGTTAAAAACATTACAGGGTGGTGGAGTCTCCCGGCCAGGCTTAGATGGAGGTGTGCAGAGCAAGTCGGGAAACTTGCCCGACTGAGCAGGGAGGCATTCAGACCCATCACACATCTGGCACACAGGCTTTTCAACACTGAGGAGCAGCCCTGCGTAAGCTGCGGGCTGGTGGGGTGGGTCAGGCCCAGCCAGGGAAGAATACTCATCACCTATCAGTCTGGGGCATAGCACAAACTGGTTGACCCTGAACCACTGGCCAGGCTCAAGGCAGGATACCCAGAATGGTGACAAGCCTTTTCTCTTGCAGAGTTATTCCCAGAACCTGTGTCTTTTGGCCAAGTGTTTCCTTGACCATAAGACACTATACTATGACACAGACCCTTTCCTCTTCTACGTCATGACGGAGTATGACTGTAAGGGCTTCCACATCGTGGGCTACTTCTCCAAGGTCAGTGCCTGTTCAGGCTGTCCCTGTGCCCTATCCTGAGCCAGGTCCCTTCCCTGACACTCACCTGCCCCCCTTTTCCAGGAGAAAGAATCGACAGAAGACTACAATGTGGCCTGCATCCTAACCCTGCCTCCCTACCAGCGCCGGGGCTATGGCAAGCTGCTGATCGAGTTCAGTGAGTATGTGTGCTGCGGCCAGGGGGCAGTGCACCCATCATCGGTGCCTCATAGGCAGATGTGCCAGGCTACCGTGATTCTCAACCGTGGCTGTGCAGCCCGGTCTCTAGGGGAGCCAGCCAGAAATAACAGTGGCACTCTCCCAGAGTTCTCTCCATTCAGGCTGACTGCCCTGCTTATCTGGGGTAGGTTCTCAGCCCCACAGTTTGCTCCTTGGCCAGGGTTCTAAGTGCCACTCAGCTTTCCCCAAGTCTGACTTACATGCTCCTGCCTGGGGCCATGGGCAGGTTAGTGAGCCGCTGGTGCTCATGTATCTGGTAACGGGTGTCCCATGATACAAGTCCTTGGGCAAGGACCAGTGGTTAATGTCCCAAGTTGTCCCCTGAGCCGTGCAGGCAGGTGTCCAAAATGCTATCAACAGATACACGTAAGCATGGAATTGTCCCTTGCTCCTCGTGTCCAGTGAGGTCAGTCTCTTAAAGCCAGAAGGGACTCTGACCTTCATCACACATGAGCTCTTCAGTGCCCTCCCCAACCCTGAGGCTCCTTCTCCTTCTCAGCCTCTTCCCTATCACCCCGCGTTCTATCTCACCACTCACTTGGAATAACTAAGCTCTGACCTGAGAAAAGAAGAGGAAGTTCTAGCTGTTTGCCTGGTGAAGACACAGAGGCTTTACTTGATCAAGGTTATGGTCCATTCGAGAAATTTATTGGTTAAGTGATGCCCAGATGGGGTCTCATCCTCAGAACTTCTCAGCCTGGTAGCACAAGTGGATGCTTGAAGAAACTCAGTCTTGGAGCTCAGACTGCAATGGAGATGGGATGTGGGTGGGACTACCAAGGGGCTAAGGTCCATTGTGAGGGTGAGGAAGGGCTTCTAGAAGTCACAAACATCCCAGGTCCCTGGTGGGGAGAATGAAGACACTGCCCAAGAGATGTGAAGCCACTCAGGGCTGTGCAGGGTCAGGATCTCACTGGGGACTGCCTCCCAGTGCCCAGCTACCAGCATGAGTTGGAGGGAAACAGCCATGGTGGGGGCCAGTCACCTGGCTCTCAGGAATGGTCTCCCCAACTTGGGAAGCACCTTGGTGCACCTTTTCTCCTTGCATCCTCACAACCACCCAGTCAGGCCACTCATGTCTTAACAGCAGCTGACACTCCCAAGATCCCAGCTAGGAGGACTGATTTGACTGAGAATTCAAGCATTCTCAGGCCTGGATTAGAGACAGGAATCTGTCCCCACTTCCTTCCTTACATGCCCAGACATGGAGCCTGGGATGGCAAAGGAAAATTGGAGGCACTTTCTTCCCCTGAGCCATTTTCCCTGCATCCCCTGCCCATAAGCCTTCACTGGCCTCTGATCACCCTCGTGGTTGAGTGCAGCTGCTCCTCTCAGTGCTCTCATGCCCTCCACTGTGCTCAACTGCCAGGGGAAGAGTGAATACTCGTTAGTTCTTCCTGAGGGAACTGAGGCGCAGAGAGGTGGAGGCCACAGAACTGCCAAGTGGCAGGGCCATGATGGGAACTAGGCAGCCTGCCTTGGTGACCTGTATTTTTAAATGTTGCTTATGTTCATCTGTGACCTCTTACTCACCCTCTCCTGCTCCATTGCTTTAGGCTATGAACTCTCCAAAGTGGAAGGGAAAACAGGGACCCCTGAGAAGCCCCTCTCAGACCTTGGCCTCCTATCCTATCGAAGTTACTGGTCCCAGACCATCCTGGAGATTCTGATGGGGCTGAAGTCGGAGAGCGGGGAGAGGCCACAGATCACCATCAAGTGAGCCTGGCACTGCCTACCTGGGGGTACATGGCATGGCCTGTCTGTTCCTGGGCTTTCTCACTCCCTCCTGGGGCTCCTGGGGACAGATGAAGGTCCTCAGGGGACCTGACCTTTGCTCTCCTACAGTGAGATCAGTGAAATCACCAGCATCAAGAAGGAGGATGTCATCTCCACTCTGCAGTACCTCAATCTCATCAACTACTACAAGGTAGGGAGGCAGGCAGGGTGGAGACAGGTGTGTGGGATGCAGAGTGCAGGCCCCTGTGGGCAGGCCACTTGCTGAACCCATCTCCTCTGCCCAGGGCCAGTACATCCTCACACTGTCAGAGGACATCGTGGATGGCCATGAGCGGGCCATGCTCAAGCGGCTCCTGCGGATCGACTCCAAGTGTCTGCACTTCACTCCCAAGGACTGGAGCAAGAGGGGGAAGTGGTGACCAGGCACTGCCCACTGCAGTGCTAAGACAGCAGGACTGGGGCTGATAGCCTACCCCGCCCCCACTGCAGCTCCCACAAAGCACTCTAAGGGAGATGGGGCTGAAAAGCTCGAAAAGGAGGGGACAGGCCTGGCAGGGCCCATTGGTGCCCGGCACCAAGGTGAGCTCAGGGCTCAGGCTAACTCCAAGGTCAGCTGGCCACAGGCCCAGGCCTGCTCTGAACCAGGGACCAGAGGGAGCCAGGCAGCTGTGTACAGTGGGATGGGGGATGGGGGAGCTCTGTACAGAGGGCTGGTGGTTGTAAAAATTTCTTTTGTAAAGTAGAAGTTGGGGGTGGGGTGGGTGCTGGCTGCAAAAAATTCTGGCTTCTCTTATCCCCATTGCCCACGGCAATAAATTGTTTCTATATGCCAGAGCCATGCAAGGTTCTTGGGGGAAAGGGGTCCATGCTGGCTTAGGGGCTCTAAGGTGCCCGGACTCACAGGTGCTGTAAAGAGCTCCTTTATTGGCGTGATGGAATCAGTGGTTCCAAAGAGCTGGTTTACTGCTGTGAAGGGATTGCAGCTTTGAATTTCAAGCTCTGGTTCTCAGTCCTCGGGCACCTGTGCGTGAATCTGCAAGAGGAATCGCCTCTACTGTTGGACTTGTAAGGCAGGGCGGCAGGCTGGCCCCCAGAGCCGGGGAAGGACTCAGCTGTTCAGAATAACCCCTTCTAGACATGCTAGAAGAGTGGTCAGGGAGCTACGCTTCCCACGCACCACCCAGTAGAATCCTCCAGACTCCGTCTGCCCAATTGTGCTCCCCAGCCCATCCACCCGGGGACAAGACGGAACTCCTCATCTACTCACCGCTGCCGCAAGACTGGGCCAAGTTAGGGCCCCACGCACTTTGGCATCCGGGCCAGGGATGGTCTCCAGACCCCACAGGGTGAAGTGGCTGAAGCTGGCAGTGGCTCCAATGAAGCGGTCCTGAGGAAGGGGCCTGGCTCAGCATGGGGACTACAGCTCCCGCCCGCACCCCCTTTCAACCCTATCCCTTTGCTCACAAAGTCCCGTTCCAGCGGCGACTCTTCTTGGTCGTCAGTCCCGGAATCCCGCAAGGGGTCTGGCTTCCCCATGGACACTTCCTTCTCTTCCGTCACCATCACGTATCCCACGAGGCCAGGCGGCACCGCCACCTCCTCGCCCCGTAGACAGCGGCCCCGAAATGACACTTCGAGTCCTGGAGCGGGAGGCGCAAAGAGCCTCAGGTAGGACCCACACTGGGCCCAGGACCTGAGCCCTGCGGAGCGAGCCCGGAGCTGCCCTCCCGCCACTTCCGGACGCACCACGATCCCCGGGAGCCCAGGAGATGAGGGGCGCGCGGAGCGGCGCGGGGGCTGCCGGGAGCTGTAGTACGGCCGCGATGCTCACCCTCGGGGCCCTGGCGGATGGCGGGCGTGAAAAAGCGCCCCACCGGGGCGGGCCCGTCCACCGCGACCTCGCAGGGCAGCAGGTGCAGTGTGATGGGGGCGGCGTCGCGCAGCGTGGCGGAGCGCAAGTGGACGCGGTGCCTCTCGATGGCCGCCTCGTCGCCGCTCTCCATCATCGCTTCTACGCAACGCAAGGGCTCGCGGGTTGGCGCTGAAGCTGGTGCGGAAAGCGCGCAGGGCCTCTCAGGAAGCCCCCGCAGAGCCTCACGGGAAGCCGCCGCGGAGCTGCACGGGAAGTGTAGTCCCCTTACCCCTAACGCTTTCCCTGGGTCCAAGTCCCAGGACTCCCCTCCCTCCCCTTCCCCGCCCTTCCCTTCCCTTCCCCGCCCCGCCCAGTCCCTCCCCTCCCCTCCCCACCCCACCCCGCCCCTCGCCTCCCCGCCCCTCCCCGCCCCTCCCCGCCCCGCCCCTCCCCTCCCCTCCCTTCCCCTCCCCTCCCTTCCTCCCTTCCTCCCTTCCTCCCTTCCTCCCTTCCTCCCCTCCTCCCCTCTTTCCCCTTCCCTTCCCTTCCTTCCTTTCCTTCCCTTCCTTCCCTCTTTCTTTCTTTTTCTTATTTTTTATTTTTTAGAGTCTCATTCTGTCGCCCAGGCTGGAGTGCAGTGTCGCGATCTCAGCTTCACTGCAACCTACGCCTCCCAGGTTCAAGCGATTCTCCTGCCTCAGCCTCCGGAGTAGCTGGAATTACAGGCGCGCACCACCACGCCCACCTAATTTTTGTATTTTTAGTAGAGACGGGGTTTTGCCATGTTGGCCAGGCTGGTCTCGAACTACTGACCTCAGGTGGTCCTCCAGCCTTGGCCTCCCGGGGTGCTTGGATTACAGGCGTGAGCCACCGCGCCCAGCAGGTTTTTTTCTTGTATTGTTTTTAATGGGACATGATCGTTGTAAAAATCTAAAACGATTCTAATTTCTTTATATTGGTTGGTGGATGGGTTCTTCATTTTTAGTTTATTAGGGACATCAACCCTTTTCTCAAATGCACTGAAAATGTTTTATCTGTGGTCTGTCTTGCAAACCTGTGTAAAGGTGATTTTTGGTGGACAAAGACTTATTTTTGTTGTTGTTTGGTTTTTTAGACAAGGTCTCACTCACCTAGGCTGGAGTGCAGTGGTTTGATTGGCTAACTGCAGCCTCGACCTCCCAGGCTTAATCCATCCCCCAACCTCAGCCTCCCCTGTAGCTAGAACCACAGGCCTGCGCCACCACGCGGCTAATTTTTGTATTTTTGGTAGAGGCAGAGTTTTGCCATGTTGCCCAGGTCTTGAACTCCTGGACTCAAGCTATCTGCCCTCTTTGGCCTTCCAAATCACGCTGGAATTACAGGCGTGAGCCACTGTACCCAGGATAAAGACTTATTTTTTGTAGTCAAATTTATCAACATTTTTCAGTCTTTTAGATTTCACAATTTTCTTTTTGGTTTCTCAACTTTTCTCTAATGTTTATTTGTTCAGACACCCAACTTAGATATATTCTTTCAAGTTCTCACATAAACACAAAACTGGAAATTTAGATTTAAATTGCGTTTAATTTATACATCCCTGGACATCTTGGGAGCTGGCCTTGGTATTCTGTGGAACGTAAATTTCAGAGAACATCAGCGTCGGACAAGGTCGCTCTGTGACCATGAGGGAGCAAGACAGAAACAGAACCCCTCCATCATCACATCTGAACGCTGGCAAAGGTGAACACTGTCCAAACCACAAAAGGCATGAAACATCCCTCTTTCTCCCACAGGAAAGTGACTTGTTTTCTTACCAATTACAGCACTAGCCTCCAACTAATCTTCTCTCCTGGGCAAGATTCATTAAGATAGTCCGTCACAGACATACCCCCACCTCTGACAGCATCCAAGCCAGAGAGAAGCCTGGCTTCCCTAAACCCTGACTGAAATCACTGAACATTGGCACAAATCCTCCTTTAAGTCCTTTCTAGCACCTTCTTACTGAAATGCCCCAGAGTGCAGGAGTAATATGCCCAATTTGTTCAACCACAGATGTATTCCTGGTGGTCTTTGGCTAGAGTGGCAGATTAATTTAGAAAAAGGCTTGCTTTAGTTTTCTATCACGAAATACATAATTCCATTTATTCACATCTCCTTGGATATCCATACAGTTGTGAGGTTTTGTTCATATATAATAGTTATTAATACATAATGTAAAGTTTATTTCTTCCTAGGTTATATTAATAATTGTTTGTATTAAAAACTGAGGGGCTGGGCATGACTGGTTCACAGCTGTAATTCCAGTGCTTTAGGAGGCCAAGATGGGGAAGGATTGCTTGAGGCCAGGAGTTCTAGACCAGCCTGGGAAACATGGCAAGACTCCGTTTCTACAAAGAAAAAAATGTTTTAAACAGAAGTGGGGCACGGCGGCATGTGCCTGTAGTCCCAGCTACTCAAGAAGCTGAGGTGGGAAGATCACCTAAGCCTAGGAGTTTGAGGCTACCATTCGAGTCACAATTGCACTGCTGCACACCAGCCTGGGTTACAGAGGAAGACCCTGTCTCTAAAAACCAAAATTGGGGTTTTTATTTTTTCATTTTATTTTCTGACTGATTTTTTTTTTTTTTTTTTTTAATCTATAGCAGGGGGTGGCAAACTTTTTCTGTAAGGGGTCAAATAGTAAATATTTTAGGTTTTATGGACCTTATAGTCTCTGTCACAGCTACTCAGCTTCACCATTATAGCATGGAAACAGCCATAGACAATACCTACATGAATAAGCATTGTTGTGTTCCAGTAAATCTTTGCAAAAACAGACAGTGGGTTGGATTTGAACCACAGGCCATATTTTTCAGACCCCTCATCTGTAGCAAACCTGTTGATTTTTATATGTTAATTTTCTTTTTTCTTTCTTTCTTTTTTTTTTTTTTTTTTGAGATGGAGTCTCGCTCTGTCTCCCAGGCTGGAGTGCGGTGGCGCGATCTCCACTCACTGCAAGCTCCGCCTCCCGGGTTCACGCCATTCTCCTGCCTCAGCCTCCTGTGTGGCTGGGACTACAGGCACCCGCCACCGCGCCCGGCTAATTTTTGTATTTTTAGTAGGGACGGGGTTTCACCGTGTTAGTCAGGATGGTCTCGATCTCCTGACCTCGTGATCCGCCCATCTCGGCCTCCCAAAGTGCTGGGATTACAGGCGTGAGCCACCGCGCCCGGCCTTATATGTTAATTTTCAAACTAGATATCTACTGAATTCTTTTGTTCCTAATGATTTTTATTTTATTTTCTTAAGAAAATAAAATATTAGCCAGAATTAGCCACCTCTCTTTCAAATAATGATAATTTCACCTCATCATTACATCTTCTTTTTTGTTTGTTTGTTTTCACTCAATGATTTTATTTTTTATTTCCTTTTCTTAAGAAAATAAAATAAATATATTTTGAATGGCCACACCTTCTCTTTCAAATAATGATAATTTACCTCATCATTACATCTTCTTTTTTGTTTGTTTGTTTCAGTACACCTTGTAATTTGTTTTCTTTTCTTTCTTTCTTTTCTTTTTTTTTTTTTTTTGAGCCTGGGCAACAGAGTGAGACTCTGTCGCCCAGGCTGGAGTGCAGTGGCCAGATCTCAGCTCACTGCAAGCTCCGCTTCCTGGATTTACGCCATTCTCCTGCCTCAGCCTCCCGAGTAGCTGGGACTACAGGCACCCGCCACCTTGCCCGGCTAGTTTTTTGTATTTTTTAGTAGAGATGGGGTTTCACCGGGTTAGCCAGGATGGTCTCGATCTCCTGACCTCGTGATCCGCCCGCCTCGGCCTCCCAAAGTGCTGGGCTTACAGGCTTGAGCCACCGCGCCCAGCCTTCGTTTTCTTTTCTAATTGCCTTGGCCAGTACTTGCAGAACAGTCTCTCAAATGTTACTGCTATCAGAGGACAATGTTGTCTTTTTCCTGAAACTTTCATGGGAGTGCTTCTGCTGTTTCACCAATAATCATGAAACTGCCTTTTGACTTGTTATATATGTTTCATTAAAGCTGTACTAAGCTTTTAAAAATTGGGAGTAGATGTTTGATCTTACTTTTTATTTTTATGTTTTTGGTTTTGCAAGTTTCCCATAGTCTGGATATTAGTAATTGCATTCCTATAGTGTCAAGGTAATCTATACCTGTATTTTCTGTAATTACACCTAGAAGCTTAATTCGATTCTTTGGGGAGGGGAGGGGTCAAGACTACTTCATGGGTGGTTTTGTATTTTTCCCTCTTTTTGTGAGGTTAACAGCCATAGATGATCATTGCCTCGATCTTTTAATTCATTAGAGGTTAAAACACGTGCGCATGCGCACACACACACACAAACACACACACACACAGAGATATTTTTGGGCCAGAGTCTCACCTGGTAGCCGAGGCTGGAGTGCAGTGGCACGATCTTGGCTCACTGCAACCTCCATCTCCCGGGCTCAAGCAATTCTCCTGCCTCAGCCTCCCAAGTAGCTGGGATTACAGGTGCCCACCACCATGCCCGGCTGATTTTATTAATTAATTAATTAATTTATTTATTTATTTATTTTTGAGATGGAGTCTCGCTCTGTCGCCCAGGCTGGAGTGCAATGATGATATCCTTATTTATTATTTCTTTCCTTCAACTAATTTTGGATGTAATTTGTTCTTGTGTTTCTGATTCCTTGAGGTATACTGTTAAGTTGTTAAAATCTTTTTACTTTTTTGTTGTAGATGTTTATTGCTATAAACTTTTCTCTTAGTACTGCTTTTGCTGTATCTACAGGTTGTGTGGTATGTTATGTTTCCATTTTCATTAGTTTCAAAATTTTTAAATTTTCTATTAAATTTGATCATTGACCCAGTGGTCATTCAGGATTATGTTACTTAATTTTCATGTATTTGTGTAGCTTCCAGAGTTCCTCTTATTATTGATTTCTATTTTTATTCCATTGTAGTATGAGAATAAATTTGATATGATTTCAATTTTTTATATTGGTTAAGATTTGTTTTGTGACCTAACATATGGTCTATCCTGGGGAATAGTCCATGAGCTGATAAGAAGAATGTGTATTCTGCAGCTGTTGGGTGAAATGTTATGTATGTCTATTTGGTCTATAGTGCAGTTTAAGTCTGATGTTTCTTTGTTTGTTTTCAGTCTACATGATCTGTTCAGGGCTGACTGTGCGGTGTTAGAGTATCCAGTTATTATTGAATTGGGGTCTGTTTCTCTGTTTAGCTCTAATAATATTTGATTTATGAACCTGGGTGCTCCAGTGTTGGGTGCATTCATTATTTCCTCTTCTGAATTGATCCCTTTGTCATTATATAATGAACTT